ATGACTTGTGTTTTCTTTAGGCTGATTGTTAGTCCAAAGTCTTGGCAGGCCTTGCTAAAACGATTCATGAGTTGTTGGAGGTCTTCGGCAGAGTGGGCAACAATGGCTGCATCATCGGTGAAGAGGAAGTCCTGCATGCATTTCAGCTGAACTTTGGTCTTTGCTCTCAATCTAGAGAGATTAAAGATGTATTTAAAGTGTGCTTTAAATTAGGTACAATATAGCCCATTGCTAAAAACCTGAATTAATTCAAATTAATTTTTAAGTGTTAATCGAAATGAAAGATGATTTAAAGAGACTGGTAAAGTTTTATGTGTTTTGACTGGAAAGAGAAGCTGTGAGGAATTTGAATGTACTTTCTAGGCTTTCATTTTTATTTCAGAATCCACCCTTTACTCTTCCCAGGAAAGAGATAGCAAACTTCCAAAAACTACCCAGGAAATCTGTATTATAATTCATATTATACCCAGCTGTCCCTCCCCGCTTTTAAACCCCATGCCCCCTTTCTTCCTTTGCATCAGGAGCTCTTGTTCTTATTGGATTGGATACTCAGGAGCGAAAAATCACGGCTGATGATCATCTCAACAGAAAAGCCTGGAGGGAGAAAGAGGCGTGTGTGAAGGAAGGCCACCTCCTGCTATTCATCCTTCCAAGGGTTAAATAAACAGACTTTACGTTCCTAGAGAGGCGAGACGTTTGAGAGTGGAGGAAGCGCCTCCTTTAGTCCTCCAGGAGGGAAAGAGGAGAGCTTTTTTTTAAAGTGAGGCCACTGCCCGGAGGGAGGAGGACAAAGAGGTAAAAGGGGTGACCCTGGGATAACAGGAGAAGGGGATCAAAAATGGCTTAGGGGAGTTTTGAGGAGAGAGACACACGCCCCTTTCCTCTTGGGATCCTTGCTAGGGAGCTGATCCATGCAATCCTGGTGCAAAAATTGGGCTCTGCCCTCCTGCTTTTCTCTTAAAAGGAGATCTTCCCCCTCGATCATCCCAGTCAGTGGGATGGTATAGACTGGGAGAGGGAGAAAGATGTAGAGATAAAGAGCCTTCCATCCGCAGAGCTGTTGGGAGGGGAGAGAGAAGGGGCAGACTAGGAAAAAAACACTGTGGTCATAACTGATTAGATAGGCGGGGTATAAATGAAATGAATGAATGAATGAATGAATGAATGAATGAATGAATAAATAAATAAATAAATAAATAAATAAATAAATAAATAAATAAATATTTCATCTCTCCCTAGACAACCAGCGGGCCTGTTTTCATTTCCATGGTGGTGGGGAAGAGCTTTGGTGGACAAGACATTTTGGAGGTCACTCATTCATAGCCCCCCCCCCCCGTAAGTTAGAGGTGACCTGACAGACCCTAACAACAACAATCCTGGGAGAAATGGAAATTTTGCCATGCTCAGGATGAATCTCAGGGCTTCTCAACTGGACCATTTCCTGAGTTGAGCATGTCCTCAAAGATAACGGGGTCTGCAATCCTGAATCTGCCGCCTGTGACACTCTTTTGCGCTTGCATTTTGCCGATTAACCTTTAAGGTTGTAGTTAAAACCACAATCAACAGGTCCTCCGTGCCTCATGTTTGTACAGTAAATATGCACGCTCTGTGCACTGCCTGCCGGAGGGGCTGGGCTCCTCTCAGGAGGCATCAAACAGAAGAATGCATCAGAAACCCTCAAAAGATCTAAGCTTCCAGCTATGAAGTGAACCCTAAATCTTCCTGCCAGCCAGCCCTCTGGTATAAAAGAAGCAGCCTTTCAAGTGTAAGTGTGTCATGGTGAAAGCTGTTTCTAGTGTAAGTACCAGAGAGATACAAAACATTCCCTTTAAGATTCTTGAGCAGAAAGGACCCAGGTGAATTTTTAGCCAGGCAGAAAGCAGGGTTTGGAAACTATCCCGAGTTTCATTTGTCTTTGAAAGTAGAGGAGGTTTCAAAGGAGAAACTGGAGGGGCTGTTGCTTAGTCCCACGCCCTGGTTTTCATGTGAACCCCAAACGTTATAGATGTTGCTTTAGGAGCAGAGATTGTTCTTCTTTTCAGGATAAACAATGGAGGGTTCCTAAGGCTGTGATTCTCTGCCTCTGCCAGCCTTGTTCTTGCCCTGCTATGCCTTGTGTCAAAGCAGGAAAATAATTTATGTCTACTTGAGTCTTTATATTAAGAACTTAACTAGTGGTGTGTCATTCCCCCCCCAGCTCCCAGTAAATGTGTAGGTACCTGAGCATATCTTACTGAGATAAAAACTTGTAAAGAAATTGTACAGCTTGGTAGGGGAAAGAAACAATTAAGAGTGGGTTTATAAGAGCATTTCATGAGGCTGATGTTACAGATTTTGGATCTCTCCGACAGAAAGAGAGGAACAGACCTTCAGGCATCCTTGCCAGATGTGAAATGAGCAATCATTTTCTAGGGTGGGCAGGAGAACACTAATCCATGTGTTCATGTTGTGCAGTTCAGTGCATAAACTATGATCTCTCAGGCTGCATTGGCTGCCTATCAGGTCAAATATATATTTTTATATCCTTGTCCTTACATTTAAATCCCTACATTGTTCCTGTCCTAATTATTTTGCAGAGCTGGTGGCATGGCATGTTCCCCTTAAGAGGACTCGGCCAGTAGATTCCAGCTTAAGAGGTCAAATTTCAAGCTTTGGGTATTTTTCCACTTGGCTCTAAAACTGTGGAATTCTCTCCTCCTGCACCTTCATAGGGAATCAGAGTTGGACACACTTAGATGAGGTTTGAAAACCTACCTGTTCACCTTGGGAGCCATCGCTGTTGGGTGTTTGTACATTGTTGGTTTTATTAGAATGCGTTCTGGTGCAGAGTGCAATATAAACAAATATTATTAATACTAATCATCCCTCCAGAAGTAAGAAATCTTAGGAATAGCTAATTGATGTAATGCTAATATCTGAAGATCAACCACTAAGAAGATATTTCTTGCCTTTCCTTTTCTGTGTGGAGAATTATTTCCAGGCTGTTAACGGTTATTGTCTTTAGCCTGGCAGTACAAACCATGCAGTGTCTAATGACATCCTCTGCTTATCCATAAAGTACAGTAAACTCAATTAATAGTTAACAGCATTCAGCACACCCTTCCCCTTTACATTTATGCACTTCAGGACACAACCAAGATCAGAAAGAAAAATGACAGTGGGATGTGAAATACTGTTTCTTTATTGCTTTGGGAAAGCTACATACCACTTTTAAGGTTAAAAACCATGAAGCCTAAATGTGTAGAAAAATTGGGAATTTTCCTTCCTGACCAGGCTTCTTTCTCCACAGCCACCTGCGTGATGTCACTTGCCAGCACTCCCTGGACCCAGTTTCTGTTTACATGGCGTGACAGCAGCAACTGCAGGCATCTCTGAGATGGTTTAGCTTCTTCTTCCTTTTTCTGTCTCACAGGCATGGCAATGGCAACAGAGGCAGGTTCTGAATCATCTCCCGGTGATGGTGGATGGGAAAAAAGAGCTGTATGCTTGCCTTGGGTAAGCAAGGGATCCATCTGGAGGGATGCCAGATGTCAGAGTTGGGTGGCGGACGGGCACTCTGAAAGAATATTCCTCTTTGCATTACTTTGCCTACTACAATGTGACCATGTAAGAGCTCTCCTTCAGTTCTTGTGATGTCATGGACACTGCAAAGATAAAAGGAAAAAAGAAAAATATTTGCAAAGCTGGCCACTTGTTTCTTGACATTGGATAGTATGAGCGTAGCTGTATGCATCTGGGTAGACAATTATGTCCTCTTCTTCTTCTAGCAGTTTGTTTCCTTTGAGGAGGTGGCTGTGTATTTCACCAAGGAGGAGTGGGATCGCCTGGATCCAGGCCAAAAAACTCTTTATACAGAAGTCATGCTGGAGATCCGTGGGATGGTAGCCTCTCTGGGTAAGGACAAAATCCATGGCAGGGGCCAACAGGGCTAAAGGTCTTGTTGACTCCTTTCTTGGCAGCTGGAACAAAGACGTGCCCCATGTGGCTTCCTTGATTGAGTCAGTCCATCTTGTGGTAGGCCTTTCTCCTTTCCCAGTGTGTCCCAATGTTACTTAGCATAATTATATTTCCTAGGGAGTCTTGTCTTCTCATGATATATATGTCTAGAGTACATAGCCTAAGTCTACTCATTTTACCTCCTAGTTAGAAGACTTCATTTGATCACGAATCAACATGTTTTGGTGCTCCATAGAGTTTCATAGCATTCATGATCTTGGTCTCGTAAGAACAGTACATTATCGTCTCCTTTCCTCTCTCTTTAAAGGAACAGATAAAAAGTCAGGTAATTGAGGGTGCTTTACCTGACTTATCCATGGAGATTCAGAGGTTGCAGTTGAAGCAGAACCACCCCAGACTAATGAGGAATTACAAATTCAATAGCATACACCTTCATTAAATTTATTTATCTTTGGTTCTAAACACAGGTAGATTCACAGGAAGACAAGCAGGGTGTTTCTCCTGGTTTCATCTCTCTCTTCTTCCCAAAGCCTGGTTGCAGTTCTTTTTCTCTCTCCTATGCACAGTCCTCAGGGCCTCATAAAACCATTCAGAAATAAATGCCTATGATGGGTTTGAGGGAAAATAACAGGCTACTGCCCCTTCATTGATTGCTGAAGCGTCAGACACGACTAAACGACAACAAAAAACAGGCTACTGAAAAGATTATGTATATTCAGGAGAGGACATGGAGAAGGAAAGGTGATCATCCTTGAGACAATGGGGAAAAAACAATTCAGTCTCTGATTAGGAAGAAATAATAATCTGTTTAAGTCCGAAGCTCCCACATCTTGCATAACAACTCTGTGAAGTGTATTATATTTCTTTTTCTCTCCTAAATTTAGGTGATGGTCAGGCGAATGAGAACTGCCAGAGGCTGTCTCTTGTGTCATGGGAAGATGAAGAGTCTGAGGATGGACAAGATTTATTTGGGAATCCAGAGAAACTAAATATAGGCATGTGGAAAGGAAAGAATTTTTTTTCCAGTTCTCAGGTGGCAGAAGGTGAATCAAAACAATATGCTATTATCCAGTCAGAATCAAAATTATATCGAGACATGAACCATGGAAAACATTTTAGTGATAATGGAATATTTTCTGAGGAAAGAGACAAAGGGGAGAAAATATGCAAATGTATGGAATGTGGCAAGAGCTTCACTATTATTTCTGCCCTTCTTTCACATCAAAGAATTCACACAGGAGAGAAACCTTTTCAATGTATGGAGTGTGGAAGAAGCTTCAGCCAGAAAGGGAATCTTAAGCGCCATCAAAGAACTCACACAGGGGAGAAACCTTATAAATGCATGGAGTGCGGAAAAAGCTTCACTGATAAAGTGAAGCTTCGGTGGCATCAAACAACTCACACAGGTGAGACCCCATATAAATGCATGGAGTGTGGAAAGAGCTTCACCGATAAAACAAGCTTTAGGCAGCATCAGAGAACTCACACAGGGGAGAAACCATATAAATGTATGGAGTGTGGAAAGAGCTTTAATTACAAAGGATACCTTAGAGTGCATGAAAGAACTCACACAGGGGAGAAACCTTATAAATGCACAGAGTGTGGAAAGAGCTTCAGTGATAGTGGGACCCTTACTGCCCATCAGAGAACTCACACAGGAGAGAAGCCGTATAAATGCATGGAGTGTGGAAAGAGCTTCAGTCAGAAAGGGGCCCTTAGGGGCCATCAAAGAATTCACACAGGGGAGAAACCATATAAATGTATGGAGTGTGGAAATAGCTTCAGTCAGAAAGGGGCCCTTAAGAAGCATCAGAGAACTCACACCGGGGAGAAGCCATATAAATGCACAGAATGTGGTAAGAGCTTCACTGGTAAATCGAACCTTTGGCAGCATCAGAGAATTCACACAGGGGAGAAGCCACATAAATGCATGGAGTGTGAAAAGAGTTTCACTGATAAAGCAAACCTTAGGCAGCATCAGAGGACTCATACAGGGGAGAAACCATATAAATGCATAGAGTGTGGAAAAGGTTTCCTTCTGAGCTCAAGTCTTACTAAACATCAAAGAGCTCACACAGGGGAGAAACCATATAAATGCCTGGAATGTGGAAAGAGCTTCAGTGAGAAAGGTGTACTTAGGCGGCATCAAAGTATTCACACAGGAGATAAACCATATACATGTATGGAGTGTGGAAGGGGCTTCAGTCGAAAAGAGAGTCTTAAGTTGCATCAAAGAATTCACACAGGGGAGAAACCATATAAATGTATGGAGTGTGGAAAGAACTTCAGTCACAAAGGAAATCTTAGGCTGCATCAAAGAAGTTACACAGGGGAGAAGCCTTGTAAATGCATGGAGTGTGGAAAAAGTTTCAGTGAGAAATGGGTGCTTAGGCGGCATCAAATTATTCATACAGGGGAGAAACCATATAAATGTATTGAGTGTGGAAGGAGCTTTAGTAGGAAAGGTGTCTTTAGGCTGCATCAAAATATTCATACAGGAGAAAAATCATATAAGTGTATGGAGTGTGGAAAGAGCTTCACTCATAAAGGGAACCTTAGGGTGCATCAGAGTATTCATACGAGGGATGATAGCAACACCCAAACAACTCGCAACTTTGATAACTGTCATATGCCAGCCATTACTCTGCCATGCACACAAAGTACAACAATTCTGCAACTGGGAAATGCTGTGTCTTTATACACTACGTGATTTCTTCACTAGTGGAACATATATTTCTTGTAGAAAAATTAAAGTGTGTCTAATCATTCAGCTGTCTCATTGATACTGAAAATGTTAAAACAGCAAGAGACTGTTGACTCTATTTCATAGGATTACTTCAGTAACATCTAAAGTATTATTTAATTTAGAAAACTATTCAACCCCAGGTTTAAAATGTGCTCATTGATATTGAAAATGTTAAAACAGCAACAGACTGTTGACTCTATTTCATAGAATTACTTCAGTAACATCTAAAGTATTATTTAATTTAGAAAACTATTCAACCCCAGGTTTAAAATGTGTGTGGGCAACATATCTTTCATATGAGGTATCTAAGAAACATGAAAAAAGGTATGGACACAAAGACCATTTAAGTCTATCTCTGCAAACATCAAGGAGAATGTAGAATTAAGACCTAACTCTTAAATTGGCACATCTTACGTGGTGGCCCTGTGGGCTAAACTGCAGAAGCCTGTGCTGTAGGGTCCGAAGACCAGCAGTCGTAAGATCGAATCCACGCAACAGAGTGAGCTCCCGTCGCTTGTCCCAACTCCTGCTAACCTAGCAGTTCGAAAGCATGCAAATGCAAGTAAATAAATAGGTACCACCACAGTAGGAGGGTAAAACAGCATTCCCTAGTCTTGTTGGCCATGTGACCACAGAAACTGTCTTCAGACAAGCGCTGGCTCTACGGCTTGAAAATCAGATGAGCACCGCCCCCTACAGTTGGACACGACTGGACTGAAAATGTCAAGGGGAACCTTTACCTTTTACCAAGGAATCCACTAAATTGTGTTGGAGTTGGTGTGGAGAGCATCTGTGCTGGTCATATGCCAAAAATTAGAACCTTTAGGGATGATGTATTGAAAATAACTTTCAGTATAAAAATCCAATAAATCAGCCCCAATACACTCTTGATGCTACATAACATATTTGGAAGTGATAACAAAAATGTGCTACACGAGAACCTCATAACTTTCCTGCTGGTGGCACATGGATAGATGTTGGCCAGACAGCAGAAAGGTCTTAACCATGCCTAGTGGGTGCAGCTCTGTATGGGATATTGCCTTGTCAGAGAAGTTAACTGAAGATGTCCACCAAGCAGGAGAACTTAAAATGAAGCACGGCTTTGGTACGACATGGTTTTATTGTATTTTTATATGAGACAAAAGACAGGATATAAAACTTCCAAATACACTCTGTAACACATGACCTTTTAGACTAAAGATTACCATTACTTTTAACGTTTGTATCGAAGTAACTGTTAATCCTCTTTACGAATATTAATAAAGGAACACTGTTTTGATATTGCTTCATTGTTAATCTTAATTAAATGTTCTGTAATGCATTGTGCAGTAGAAACATTGTTATTGTACAGTAACTATAACCTGTATAAGAAAAGAAAATAATAAAAATATTAAAATCTCAAAAAAAACAAAAGTATTCACACAGCAGAGAAGCCAGATAACTGTGTGGAGTATGGAAGGAGTTTCATTAGTAAAATGAACTTTAGGAAGTATGAACACAGGAAAGAAGGCATTAAAAATGCATGGTGCATGGAAGGAAAATCAGAGGGGCTATTTTAGCAAATGTTTCCCTGTGTGCTGTAGTGGATAGAGCAGTGATGGCGAACCTACGTATGGCACATGTGCCACAGCTGGCATGGAGAGCCATCCCAGAAGCCATAAATCGCCATAGAGAAATACCCATCCTCCGAGCCCAGATTTCGGCACTCCCCTCTGCTGGTGCACTGGTCCAGCAGAGGAGTGCAATGGCGACCAAGACATGGTCCAGCAGAGGGGTGCAATGGTGACCAAGACGGTCTAGCCTAATGGGGAATTGGAGGACCAGTAAGTATTTCTTTGTTAATATGACCCATGGGGGGCGGGAACCAAGCATTTAATCCCTGCAGTGCAGGAGCAGTTGTTTTAATTATCACCCAAGTGGGGATACAATTAGGGCTAGGATTTTCATATTTCTTTTACTACAGCCACCAAACGTCTGCAGGAGTTCCTTCATCCAGAACTCCCGAGCCTTAAGCAAGCAAGCAAATCAAATGCAAATACCTTTTAGGTGTTTTTCTTCAGTTACAGCTGAGAGATCATCGTTTCTCTCAGAAATGATGAAGACAAGGGAAGTGGCAGCACAGCATTATGCGTCTGGGAGTTTTCTGAGGTTTACCCTGTGCAGGGCATAACAGCAGGGAGATTAGCAGATCTCTAATGCTCCAACGGGACATGGTAGCGCTGCGGGCTAAACTGCAGAACCCTTTGTGTACTGCAGGGTCAGAAGCCCAGCAGTCGTAACATCGAACCCACGCGACGGAGTGAGTTCCCGTCAATTTGTCCCAGCTCCTCACCAACCTAGCAGTTAGAAAGCATGTAAATGCGAGTAAATAAATAGGTACCATCTCGATGGATAGGTAAACAGCGTTCCGTGTATATCCCCGCTGGCCACGTGACCACGGAAGATTGTCTTCGGACAAATGCTGGCTCTACGACTAGGAAACGGGGATGAGCACCACCCCCTAGAGTCGAACACGACTGACTAAAATGTCAAGGGGAACCTTTATCTTTACCTTTAATGCTCCAACAGAGCTTATCCCTACCCTGCCACTTTCTCTATTGTCATCAAAGTCATTATTCCTCAGTTGTAAGTGATGACAAACACTTGGTTGCAGGTAGGGTTGCCAGATACATGGGTACTAAAAGGAGGACATAGAAAGACAAAAAAGGAGGACAAAGGAGGACATATTGAATGTTTCATTTGAATCATTCCATATTAAATCCACAATCAATACAGTTTTATTACAATAGCTGCCAATAAATGTCTCTTAGTGAACTGACCCCTACCCTGCCACTTTCTCTATTGTCATCAAAGTCATTATTCCTCAGTAGTAAGTGATGACAAACACTTGGTTGCAGGGAACATATAGGTCCCCTTTTAGAGCAGTGCCACTGGCTGCCAATCTGTTTCCAGGCACAATTCAAAGTGCTGGTTTAAGCCTATAAAGCCCTAAATAACATGGGTCCAAGTTATCCAAAAGGCCACATCTCCCTCTATGAGCTTTAAAAATTCTTTTTAAAAAATGGTGTAGTGAAGATGACAGGATGTGTTTTCCTCTTTGAAAGCTTGATCTTTTATAGTTTTATTAAAGTTTTTACTTGGAAGCTAAACCAGCGAAGTTTTTTTGACTATTTGACTGGGATTGGTTATCTTTTTCTGTATACTTACTGTTTTTAGCTTTTTAAATGTTGTCATTTTAATCATGTAAGCTACCTTGAGTCCTTTGTAAGGAGAGAAAGAGACAGGATGAAAATGTTTTAACTAACTAAATGAAATAAATTACAGTGTACCATATTACCTCTGTTCTGTGCTGCCAAGTTGAAACCAACTTACTGTGTATGATATTATATACTGGGATTTCTACCCAGGCTGCTTTTCCCTCACTGAATCTGGAGATTTTTTCTCAGTAAATTGATTGATTGATTGATTGATTGATTGATTGATTGATTGATTGATTGATTGTTGATTTGATTGACTGACTGACTGATTTGATTTGATTTGATTTATATCCCGCCCATCTGGTCTGGTCGACCACTCTGTAAAGGTTTGTTAGCTCAGCAGCCAAATGTGGTACTGTAACTGACCAGAAAAGGTTGGACCACAAAGGGGGACGAAGAGAGGGAAGGTCAGCTTCTTCCACTCAGCCTTCCAAGGGTTAAATAAATGGAGGCTAGCTTCCTAGAGAGGCAGGATGTTCACAAGGTGGGGAAGAAAATAATCAACGCACCTCGTCTTCCGGGGAAGGAAAGA